ATTGTGATGATTCTTCCACTAAAGAAATTTTTCTTCAAACAAAACAAATGTTTTTTTTTTAAATAAATAGTTCCTAAAAAAATTAATAGTTTCTAACAAATTATTAAGTTAAACAATTACTGTATGCTAAGTGAGAGTAATTTATTAGTTATTACGTCGAACTATGTACATAATACCACATAACGAAAAGGTTCAATAACATGAAACACTTAAACTCAATAAACTTTTAAGCAATATGTATAATCTGCGTTATAAATTCGCAAAACGCAAATTATGTAACAAAAAAATACTTTATTTACATTAATTTTAATTAGTTTATTTTCTATCTCATTTTAAAACAGAAAAACACTTCATTTCTACTGCAGCATAAAATCTAACAATGTTAAAATTTATAATTATCATTAATGATTTATGTTTACAAAAATGTTCTCCATACGAATGTGCATCATAGTATAATATTCAGTGCTTCACTATTATTATTGAGAAATAAACCGGCAGCAGCGGAATGATATTTATTTCTTCTCGAATGCATTGTGAAGCGTAACTCCAAAACTATTACATAGTACAAAAACTGAACGATCCATAGCACTTTGGCATTTAATACACAGCAATAATATATGACATAAAAAACTGTACAACAACTTAGAAAGCAAAGTGTACAACGGCTCATCGCAGATTTAATAACGCTTCTACGCGCTTTATTTAATTGCAGTACAACATCGCGACAATTCTTTCAATTAAAGTTGGCACAAATATTTCTTTAAAACTTCTTCCTAGTACAATAAGAAGATCACTTCTATCAAATTTGTTAAGACCGTACTTGACAAACGTTTATTTCACATGCTCATTTAAATGTTACTTTCGCTACACTACAATAGTTATATTAACAGTCATACTAAAGTATAAAAACCATAATAATTGTTCTAACGAAATCTTACAAGGGAACTTCAGTTATCACACAGTTTCAACTGTTACTGTTATACGACTTTTCGGATTTCAAACACCTTTAATAAGAACACAAAAATTGAAAACATAAAAATTCTATAATTCTGAAAAAGAGATATGAAAAAGTTTATGAAAGAGTGTTTGTACACCATTAGGTCCTCTCAAAAATTTAAAAAATTTAAAATCAGAAGAAATTTTCAAGCTACTGTAGCTCATCTACCAAGTAGCAATAGAATGCAATATAAATAAAGAAATTAATAGAATTTGTTATTCAACTAAGGTTTTTTGCAAACTCGTTGTTTATCTAAAAAAAATGTTTTGTTGACCATACGTGCTTTTTTGTTAAGAATTCTCTGCCTGAATAAATGTACTTCCTTAGCCGTTTTAGTCTTTTTCAACCTTCGAAGATTCTCAACATAAAAATTACTTGTACTTCCATAGGAACTTAATAAAATGAGGTCAGGCTTAACATTTAGTTTACTTATTATAAGCACTGAATAAGGATTTGAACGCGACGGCAAATTTTGCTCGTTAGGCTTACGTTTCTTTATAGGAACATCTGAAAGATTCCCAATAACATTGTCTGAAAATCGTTTTATACCTTTCCTCGATAGTTCTACCGTGCTACATTTTGCACTTTCATTTTTATAAATCTGTATAGCGTTCTCTTTCTGTATTCGTTCATCATCATTCTTTGTTTTGTTCTTTTTTATTTTTTTACTAACTATTTCAATTTCAGATTTCCTCTTAACAGTCTTACCACTTTCAGATAAATCTAATTGCCTTGTTTCACCAAATTTACTGCTTCCCTTCTCAGTAGTGTCTGTAGATTTGATTCCGCTTACTCGATCCATCTTATCTGCACCTACCTTTTCTTGTTCTTTTTTAGTTACTTTTCCTTTGATTTCTTGCGTCTGCACTTTTCCACATTGCTTATTCACTACAGTCTTGTCAGTTTCATTTGCATTAACAAGATTTCTACTATGTAATTTCCTGATACATTCATTATTCTCCTCATTACCTTCATAAACTTCATCATCACTACTTTCTATCATATTTTTTCTCTTCTTCTTCTTCTTACTTGATTCGATTTCAGAGTTTGTGATTTTTGTATCATTACTGGTAATTTTGGACAAATCCAATTTCTTAGACTTTGTAGGTTTATGTTTATCTTTTCTAAAAGTATTTGTATCTGTTCTCTTCTGTTTTTCTTTTTCAATTTCTTCCTCCTCGCTTTCTTCTTGTACCTGCATTTCCGGGCATTGTTCATCTATCGTATTTTCATTGGAATTTTTAATATCATCATCTTGGGTATTGGATAATTCTTCATCAATTTCACTTGGCACAATTTCCTCTACAGAGTTATCATCATCATCATCATCATCACCACCATCATCATCGTCATCGTCATTATCAACAACAACAACATCACCATCATCATCATCATCACCACCACCATCATCATCGTCATCGTCATTATAAACAACAACAACATCACCATCATCATCATTATCATCATCATTATCATCATCACCATCATCATCATCATCATCATCATTGACTACAAAATCTGCCAAATCTGATCCATGATCATCTGGATCTGATGATTCAGTTTCTGATGCTCTACACTCATCCCCTGGTACATCATCATCAGAAAACTTAGAAACTTCCACACCATGAAAATTGTATTCTCTTTCAATATCAGAGTCTATACTTTCATTTAATTTGTTTGAATCACTTGTACTTGATGATGAGTTAATCGGTGACTTACTCAATGATTCCTTTTCTTCCACAGAATCAGCTTCACTGAATTTCTCAACTTCATCATCTAGTTTTTCAACTGATTTGTTTGAATCACTTGCACTTGATGATGAGTCAATGGGTGACTTATTCAATGATTCCTTTTCTTCCACAGTATCAGCTTCACCGAATTTCTCAACTTCATCATCTAGTTTTTCAACTGATTTAGATTTGCGTGATAAACCATTGTTTAATTTATTTTTACTATTCCATTCATTCAAAGATGATTCTGTAGATGGCATATTTAAATTTTGGTCAGTTTCAGTTAGTAAATTTCTATCTACTGAGTCTTCAATTGAAGTAGTATTTGCAGGTGTAAATTGATTAGATACTTCGATTGTACTAGCTTTTCTGGGAGATACATTTTGTATGTCTTTTATCTGATTTTGCATAGGCTCTTTTCGATCTTGTGATTCAACTTCTAGATTATTCGTATCACTTTTTATCTCGTTAATTTCTTCCTGTTGCATAGATTTTCTAGTATTTATTACTTCAGCTAATTTATTTTTATTCATTTCGCATTGAACCTTTGATACAGTCACACTTTCTTCTCTTTTTTCTTTCAATTCATCCTTTTGCGTTTTCAGTAGAACTGTATCCTCTGAATCGTAATCTAATGCTATCTTCTCTTTATCGATGTTTGTATTTTCTGGTGTTTGGGACGATTCCTTATCAACCAAAACAAAATCATCACATTCATTCTCACTTTCGTTTTCTAATCGTTCAGTTGACATGGAGTGCACAGAATTTGTCTCACAAATCTTATCTCTCCATTCATCAGCTGAAATATCTTTAAATAATTCTCTAGA